ATACTAGGGCCCTTAATAATTTATACGAAATCTATTCTGTCTGTGTTCCAGAAATTAAACAACAAAGCCTGGATGACAGTACATCTGTTTACAGCATGATTTCCTGAATATTTTAAGCATACTGTTGACACCTACTGCTCATTTAAAAAAAAAATTCCTTTCAAAATATCACTGCTCATTGACAATGCACCTGGCTACCAAGAACCCTGATGGGGATATACAAGATTATTGTTGCTTTCAGGCATGCTAACACAACATCCGTCCTACAGCCCATGGATCAAGGAATCATTTTGACTTTCAAGTCTTATTAAATATAAAAAAAATGCATTTTGCAAGACTACAGATGCCATAGACAGTAACTCCTGATGGATCTGGGCAAAGTAAATAAAACACTTTCTGGGGGAAAAAAATCACTGTTTTTGATACCATTAAGAACATTTGTGATTTATAAGTAGAGGAGTTTGGAAGAAGTTGATTCTAACACCTGTTCCAATGACTTTGAGAGATTGAAGACTTCAGGGACTGAATTAACCATAGATGTAGTAGAAATAACAAGAGAACTAGAATTAGAATTAGAGTCTGAAGATGTGACTAAATCCCTACAATCCCATGATGAAATTTGAACCAACGATGAGCTGATTCTTGTAAGTGGTTTCTTGGAATGGAATCTGCTCCTGGTGTAAAGCCTGTGTACATTGTTGAAATGACAACAAAGGATTTAGAATGTTACATAAACTTACATGATAAAACAGCAGCAGAGTGAGAGGATGGATTCCAGTTTTAAAAGAAGTTCAACTGTGAGCAAAATGCTATCAAACAGCATCACATGCTACAGAGAAATCTTTTGTGAAAGGAACAGTCAATTATGTGACAAACTTCAATTTTGTCTCATTTTTCAGAAATTGCCACACCCACTCCAACCTTCAGCAATCACCACCCTGATCAGTCAGCAGCATCAGCATTGAGGAAAGACCCTCCAACAGAAAGATTGAAACTCTCTGAAGACTCTGAAAATTGTTAACATTTTAAGCAACCAGGCTTTTTAAAATTAAAGTAAGTATATTGTATTCTCTTAGACATAAGAAACACTTATTACACTAGAGTAAGCATACTTTCACATGTACTTAGAAACTAAAAGAATGGTGTGACCTGCTTAACTGAGATATTCCCTTTCTGCAATGGTCTGGAATCAAACCCACAACACCTCCAAGCTATACCTGTACTTCAGATGTCCCAGGAAACGAACGCAGAAACACTTTCATAGCTGCAGCACCTAGCACAGTGCCTGCAATGTGCAAATTTATATTCAGTAAAATTATACTGTGCTGAACTGAATCACGTATAAAGATGTTAAAAGCAGGGCAGATGTGTCCCCGCAGAAACTTTTATCTTCTCATCCATCATTTCACTCAAGCCTCCGTCTAAAAGTTGCCTTCTCACTCTCCCATTCACTAGTCCTGAGGCAAAGCGACTTAGAACATGGTTCTGGGTGTGACCCACAACCAAAAGTGGGTAGAGATCTAGATTCAGTCCATTTTAGCAATTTTGAGTTACTTCCATAATTTGGCCTACCTGCCCCCGGCAGAGCTCATCCTGCTTTACATCAAATGGGCAGTGGCCGCATGAGCGTTTGGTGTTCTCCCCTCCAGAAGGTGACTGTGTGTCGGTGAGATGCACAGACTTACATCTCTCAGGTCAGACTAGGCACCATCCATAGGAAGGGGGAACTAATGCTTCCTAGGGTTCACTGCAAGAGGAGGCAGCTGGGATTCAAATGGACTTTTTCACAACAAAACCTGCCCATCTTCAGCACCATGACATCCATTTGCAAGTATCTGTAGTCTCTACTTCTTCCTCCTCCTTCTCCTCCTCCTCCTTTTCTGTCTCAGGACGTTAGCCAGGATGATCTTAAACTCCTGGCCTCAAGCAATCCTCCTACCTCGGCTTCTCGAAGTGCTGGGACTACAAGTGTGAGTCACCTCACCCAACATCTATAGACTTCCTTGGAGAAAGTTCTCCTTTCTCTTTTCTGTGGAACCTCAAATGATTTTTCTCTATGAGCAAGGGCTGTGAAAGCATCTGGCCCCAGATCCTAATTTTGGAGAGGTGGTACTAGGCTTCATTGCTCAGCTGACCAGCACAAGGAGCAGAAAGAGAACCCAGGGCCAAGAACTCTTGGTCCCCTATACACACGTTCTGGTGTTACCCCCGTGATGCTGCCGGAAAGTGCAGAAAACAGCCACTTTGTGTTTCAGAAACCAGAGCTAAAGACAGAACAAGACTTCCGCCTTGGTCTTGCTCACTCTCTTCCCTGGACCACTGTAGCACACTTTCATCGTGTCATAAGTCACTCACGCTGAAGAACATTGAACATTTAAAATTGTGAAATAGAAAGATGTATATTTGATCATTATTACATGTATGTATGTGAAAACTGTTTGCCAGTTAGTTATAATAGTTGTGTAGTTTATCCTTCACAGAACCCTGCTTTTATTTCTGACGCCACTTAAGAATACTAAAACAAATACATTTTGCAACTGCGTGTGGCCAAAAAAATCACCTTCAAAAGAAATGCCCAACCATGTACATCTAGCCGATCAGCTCAAGACACAGGTCAGAGGCTCTGATTCCTTCAGGATGAAAACAGCGAGACAGCAACCTTTAAATACAAGCACACATTCACCTGTACCCATTCTCGGACAACCTGGCAAACATCAACTCTGATAGAAGGCTGCTGCAAGGTAAGGCAGAAAGGTTCATGTAAAATCGGTCAGGCCCTCTATGACCTGGTATTTACATTACTTGGAGAGTTTAAATTTTCTAAGCTATGTTCAATGTATATATTTTAATTCCAAAACATAGTTAAATAGGGAAATTCTATACGTATACACAATAAAATAAAATTTATGATTTAAATATATGTATATGATATGTATCTAAAATACATATTTATAGAAAAAAACACAATTATACATTCACAGAAAACAGTCCCAAGGAAATTCAAAGAAAATAATAACAGCGGCAGTCTCTGGACTGTGGGATATAGGTAGCTTTAACACTTCCTTTATATTATTTCCTCAAATTTTCTACAATTAACATTGATTACTTTTATACCAAATCTTATTTTTTTAAAACGCTTAAAGCAAAGTATACCAAATACAGAGTATCCAATTAATGTTTCTGTGATACAGATAGTTTTGGAACCAGAGGTTCTGCATTCTTCCTGAGTCTTGACTGTTAGTCATAGAATTTATCACCTTGAACAAGTCATGAAATGCTCATGGTCTCTTTCCTTCCATGTGAGATGGAGATTTAAAAAAATATCTGCCTCTGGTTTTTGTTGCGAGGATTAACCGAGCTGGTATTTGTAAACTCCCAGCTCTATTCCCAGCATGGGCTGAGCATGGCAATTGGTGCCCATTACCACACTCCTATTGTTACAAGTCACACCTGACCACTCAGCAGCGGGCATTTATCTCCTTTGCCTTCCTTTGCAGCCAAATGACTTCCTCCGTTTTTTGGTAAAGTGGACTGGGTAAATTTGATCAGAATCGCTAGGGAAACTCAATAAAAGTCCATTTACTGAATTAGAATTTCTGGGGCTGTGAAGTCTGCATTTTTAGCAAGAATCCATATGTTGATTACATTTTTAAAAGAACCAAGATCCATGGAGAAGCCTATTACTTTTACCAGGTTGCTAAACACTATAGGTTCCTACCACCATGGAAAGAGAACAGGAAAACAACTTCTAATTGCTTTAGGGCTCTGGAAAGGCAGCTAGCAAACACCCATTCTGGAGAAACTAAGTATTATGAAAATGCAACGAAATGGCATCCGGTTCAGATCACTAGCCTTTTCTGCAAAAAAGTGTATCCCTTTGTATCTGAATAGGTGACTGACTAAATTCTTTCCTCGCCTATAGTCTTGTAATAGCTTGCTTGCATCTCTGCCTGTGACATCACACAGTAGGGTCCCCTGCTTTGCTGCCTTATGAACGATAGCCACCAAGTCTTATTTTCCCGCATATCCTTGGTGTCCAGAAGAGTGGCTGGCTACAGAAAGGGCTGCATCAATGCAGTTGCCAGGTGGCAGAGGAGCCTGAGGCCTGAGGACTCAATGAGCCTTAAGAGACCCCAACTTCCCTGCCTCGTTACATGATGCAGCTGGCATCTCTGAAGACCAGTGCTTGGAACAAACACAAAAATATGCATGTGCTATTTAATGACGCTCACAATGGTAGGAATGCTTGCATAGCTGGAGTTTTAAATAACTATTACATCAGGGTTTGGCTCTGTGGAATTATATTGCAGAGCAAATTAGCGATCATATGCTGTTTCTAAACTCATGTAATAATTGCCTCTTGCTACATCCTTCTGCACTTGGAAATAAATTGCAAACTATCGGGAGATTTCCAGGAAAAGCAGAAACAGCTCATGTGTTTTGGGTAGGCATCGACAGGATAACCAGCCTGGCTGGCTTCTCCAGTACACATGATTGCATTTAATCCTCACAGCTCAAAGGGACAGGTTCCATATTCCCACTTCACCAATGAACAACGGAAGCTCAGAGAGAAGATAGGATCCACCCAGGTCACTCGGCAGTGGGCATTTATCAGTCTTCAGGGCCAGACACAAATCAAGCTTTTCTACTTCCTGAGTCAGGGATTCCCAATGACTGAATTTAGTTTGTTTGTTTTCCTTTCCTTTGTTTTCGAATTTCAAGAAATGTTCTCGGCAAGTCCTACAGAAAATGCTTGATAATCAATTCTTGATTCAGTGAAACATGATCAAGACCATGAACAAGTTTTCTTTTTTCTCTTTCAATGAAATTAACCTTACTGCTAATTTCTATTATTCCCCCCAAATCCCATGTCCTCTCCAGAGAAAGCCAGTTGGTCCTTCAGAATTTTATCCACACAGGTATCTCCTTCCAGTGGAATTCCCCTGGCTTTGTACCCTTAGGAGATTAGGTTAAGTGTGAGCGGAATTCTGCACTCTTACCCGTGATATTGCAGTATACTTGGAGAGGTCCCAGCGGCCCGCTGCCATCCGAGTCGATGGAGAAGAAACCAGCTGTGTTTCCCTGGTGTCTGTACACCTCACAGGATTGCTCGTAGATGGCTGGAAAGACATAAAGGCAGCAGAGATGAGACTTTGCTTGGCTTTGCATATCCTTTTGCAAGGATGAGTAAATTCTACTTATATTCACTTTGCTCGTTTATTTCTTCCCTTCTTGTGTATCCTCGACTTTGTCTTTCAGCCTGCTAAGAGCTGCATTTTTCATTCATCTTAACTCATTTATTCTAAAATCAGCTCAGAGGAGGTTGCACCCCCCCAAAAATCTCCCCAACCCCTTATAAAGCCTTCCTCCTTGCTGAATTATATGATCTTCCTGTATGCCCCCACGGTGTATTGAGCTAGGGTCACCGGCATACTATTCTGTCTCCCTTCATGGGTTATAGAGTCTGTAAGTAGTGGTCACGAGTTGACATTTGGGGCCTGACACAGAGCCACACTCATAGCAAGGACTGGACACATGTTTGACCAGTACATTTAAAAAATAAATGCATACATACAATTATGTCTCTTGACTAATAAAGTAAAAGGAAACTGTCTTATTTCTATTCCCAGAGCTCAGTATTATAACTAGCATGTAATCAGGACACAACCAAGTTTAGTCCTTTTGACGTAACGAGCATTTACTAAGTTCCTCATGCTTGTCAACAGATGTGGGTGCCACCAGGGGACAGAACCAGGGGGGAGTTAGTCAGTCTGTGCTCCAGAAGGCTCACAGCCTGACTGGCAGCAATAAAGGTCTTGCTCAGAGAGAGGCACACTCGGGTAGAGGCAGGCTCAGTGCCCCGAGACAGGTGCCTTTGACCAATCCGCAGGCTCCAGAAATATATAAACTTTTTTAAACCAACATGAATAAATCTATCGAGGTATAAAGGAGACATTTGCTGCCTCATGCATGGGGATATAGACTGCCTCCCGTTCCTTCAGGCAAAAAGCTGTAGCTCCGAGCAGCAGGTACGCCTCCGATCATGTCACCCTTCCATGCTTTAAACACTTCAGTGGCTCCCAACAGCTTTCAAGATATAGTACAAACTCCTCACCTTCGTCAACTCCTACCCCTTGTGACTAATGCCCCATTCCAGGAATATGAAGCTGCAGTTTGTCATGATCAAGTGTGAGGGGTGCCTCAAATAATTCATTACCAGTAAAGGTATAAAGTCTGAGAGGGCTTGACTCCTTTTTATAAATTAGAGTGAATTCAAGGTTATCCTTGTCCTTGCAGCGTTCTCTCTGGCACACCCGCACACCTTCTGCAGCAGCAGGTAAGCGGGAGTGTCAGGCTGTGCCCTGAAGAGGCAGCATCACCTTCGGCTTAGATATGCTTGCCCAAACCTGACAGCACACCCGAGTGTGAGTCACATACATGAACATCAACTCTTTGGCGTGTGGTCTCTCCCCAGCCCCTCCCGTTCTCCCAAGACGACAGCCATGTGGAAGGATCGTGTGTGGTCCCATGAAGGGTAAACAAAGGCCAGCTGGCAGCACGTGAGTGGTTGCCCGGTGGCTAAGAACGTAAACCCTGGAGTCAGAACGGATGGTTTCACATGGTGAGGCTACTATTTGCTCCCTATGGGAGCAGGACAAGCTGCTTCACCTGTGATGGAAAACCTCTAAGGTGTTTCCCCAAATGGACACTTTTGGGTATTCACACCCTGCTCATAAACTCATGCCCTTCCTCTGAGTAGGCTAGACTCATTGACTTTGCAACAAACAGAATCTGACAGAGTGACAGGTGTCACTTCCAAGATTACATGATACAAAAGACAATGGCTTCTCTCTTGTACCTGGATCACTAGCTTTGGTAGAAGCCAACTGCCATGTCACCAGGCAGCCCTGGGAGGAGGCCCGCAGAAGTGAGCTTGGAAGCTTCTGCGGCATTCTGTGTAAGAGAGCACCGGAGCAGATCTCCACAGTCAAGCCTTGAAGTGACTGCAGTTCTCAGACGTCTTCATTATGGCTGCGTGAGAGACCAAGCTGGCTAGAGCCACCCAGCTAAGCCGCTTCTGCTGACAGACCTAGAGTTGTTTCCAGATGTTGTTTCCTATGATTCATTACAATAAGTAGCTAATGAATTCTGAAAGTTTAAATCGTCTCATCAGGCTATAAATCTAAAAAGAGCCTACCTCATGCTATTATAGTAAGGATTTAAAGAGGTAATCCACATACGGCACATGGCAAGGGCTTGATCAATAGGAGTCACTATTATTATTATCTCATTTATTCATGTCATGTTGCCCCCTAATTAATAAGTTTTTGTTGGCTTAATTTTTTTTTCAATTTTTTTGTAAACCACAAGGCTTGTTATAAAAAAAAAACCATAGCCCTAACCTCCTTTCTGCGCAGAGATCATGACTTTTCATTCTTAGTTCATTCTTTTGATATTGACTATTATAATAGCATGTCTATATTGTTACTTTGTGATTTTTTTCACTTTTAAAGTTATCTATTCCCTTGCCAACGAGGAAGATGAGAACGTAGCCCTTCTCCTCCATCCCCAAATATGGAAAAAGCCCCCTATTTCCCCATCCTTCCATCGTAGTTCTATTGCCATTTTAGTTAAATCAATGGTTATCGTTTATGGTGATGTGACCATGTAAACGCTACTCATAAATTAGCCGCGTTAATGTGCTGTGATTAGTTTTCCTTTCCTGAACAAAACTTTGATTTTCCTGAAATTAAGAACTGTCTTATTTTCTTACGTGCCTAGTCTTCTATGGATATCGCTAATTTAAGTACAGATTCACTAACAACTGTCTAAGATGTCTCCCACAATATTCAGGTAGGAACTAAGACACATGTCTGTGGGGAGAGAAGAAAAAAGGTGGGAGGGGACAGGGATGAAAACTAGACCTTTCTGAAAGTTTTATATTTCTAATTTTGAAATCATTTAACTATTTTAAAATTTTAAGGAGACTATTTTAAATACTTTTAAAAGAGTAAATATAATAAAAAACAATTCTCAAACATTGAAAGAAAGTGAAAGCAAATGAATTTAACCAGAAATTTTTTCAAGTGATATTAAACTTCAGTATTTTCTTCTTAACCTTTTTAATACAGAAACTTTCAAATACATGCGAAGAGCACAGAGAGTAATTTAAACGAACTTGATATCATCACAACCCACTTTAACAACTTCTGGTATTTGGCTAATCTTTTATCATATATATCCTCAGTATCAGCTGTCTGTTGCTATATAAAAACAAATACACACCAAAAAAAACCTCTGAATTTGACTGACAATCACAACCACTCCATGATTCTGCAGGTCAGCCATTTTGTCTGGGTTTAGCTCAGCAGTTCACACTTCTGCAGTCAGCTGTGGGTCAACGGGGCTCACCAGTGGCAAGCTGTAGGGCTTAGGTTTTTGTTCCTGAGACCTCTCATACTCTAGCAGTGGAATTGACACAGTAAGTAGGTCCCAGAGCAGCAATGAACAAGTACTTGTCAGTGTTTTGTCACATAATGTTTGCTGAGGCCCCATTGACCAAAGCAAGGCTGAGCCATTCAAAATCCTCTTAGAGGATCCTTAGGACCTAAATGAAATGGGGCAGTCAGACAGAAAGGACTGTGTCACTGGATAACTTCATTGAGCAGGGTCACACTACAGTGGGTGTCACACTGCAGTGGGTGTGAACATAAAAGGAACATCTATTACGCTATGTCATTGAGATTTGAGGGTCATTTACTACCTAAATTAGCCTACTGTTCCTACTATATTTGTTCCCTAAACAGCGGCTCCGTTACTGGGAGATCTCTGAGGGCACAGACTGGTAACTGCATTCCTATTTATGAATACTGTAAATGAACTCATAAACAGAAGTACTTTGCCCAAAGACAAATCAGCTACAAGCGGTTAATCTAATTCTATAATGTTTTCCTGATTCACTAGTGGGAATTCTTTATAAAACCAAACATCCCTCATCAGTTATTTGAGTTCCCTAAACTACAAGATTATATGGTTTCCCTTTAATTCATCAGAATTGATACTGAAATGTTTCCCTAGCGTGCTCCAAAAGTGACCAGTGAGAATATTTTTAGCATTATTATGAACTCACAGATTTAAACAAATTTGATGTTAAAATAGTAGTTTGACCGGTAGGGTGTAATAGGATATCACTTGTAAAAAAAAAAAAAAATCTGAAAATATGTTGAATAGCCTTATTTTAAAATAATATTGCTATTGTATTATGAAGCTATTAAACACAGAAAAAAGTTAATAAATAATCACATTATTATTAACAGAAACTAGATTTTTTTACCATAAAATAAATATAAAGCAAAAATTTTATAAAATTCTGCATTCATGCCATTATGAATTCACTATTTAATTTTTTAAATAATGTATTCTCAAGTTTAGACCATTGAAAATGCTGGAAGCAAACTCATGCACAATTAGTGGTCTCCAAATACAATTTCCCCTTTTAAAAAAACACATATTAGCCGGGCTCGGTGGCTCAGCCTGTAATCCCGCGCCTTTGGGAGGCTGAGGTGAGTGGATTGCCTGAGCCCGCGGGTTTGAGACCCGCCTGGGCAGCGAGACCTCATCTCTACAATAAATCAAAAAATCAGCCGGGCGTGGTAGCGCATGCTTG